AGCAGAAATTAATGACTAAGAAAACAAAAGGAAAAATAAATCTAGGCTCTATAGAAGACTGCTTAGTTAAAAATTAAAAACAAAGTCAAATAATGATACTAACGAAAGTTAAGCCAAACTGACAATAATAAAGATAACACAAATAGCAAATTAGGAAAATTACAAAAATGTAAGAGGTACATATCAACATCAAATAGCTATTTAGTGATGGTTGTAAAACCAGAAGCAAGATGTGGCAGCTTGCTAAAAATTCAGAATCTCAGTGAACAGAAATTTTAAATGAAGTATAAAGAATAATACACATGAATTTCTATTATCATTCTTTCCCAAACTCAAGAAAAACTCCTTGACATAAATTGATGAAATAAGAAAATATAATTTTGACAACTTCTTAGGAGGAATTTAATAAAACATAAAAGCTGACTTTTAAAGCGAAACCTCCAGAAGGCTGTTCCATGCTGAGGGAAGAGTGAGTGCAAAGACCCCAAGATGGAACTAAGGAAGGCATACATGGTCAATGACACGTCAGATGCTAGAGACAATGTAGATGGAAAACAAGAAGCAAAAGGAGAAGGTGAAGATGAGGTGAAAAGGAGAAAGATGTGATGCTGTCACTGCTAGCAAGAAGCCAAGCTGAATGTATCAAAAAGAGAAGATTCCAAACTGCTCTGCAAGAAATCCTTGAAAAAGAAGGTGTTAAAGAGAAGGGAACATTTAAGGGCATTTTGACTTTCTCCCATAACTTCATCCATGGGTGCAGTCTGAAAATGTTCTTAAAAAATTCTGATCCACACCATCAATTCAGTGATATATAACTTCTTAAAAAACCAGAACTCAGGGCCGGCGCTGTGGTGCAGCAGGTTAATGCCCTGGCTTGAAACACCAGCATCCCATATGGTCACTGATTCTAGTTCCTGCTGCTCCTCTTCCTATCCAGCTCTCAGCCATGGCCTGGGAAAGCAGCTGAAGATGGGCCAAATCCTTGGGCCCCTGCACCCATGTGGGAGACCTGGAAGAAGCTCCTGGCTTCGGATAGGTGCAGCTCTGGCTGTTGCAGCCATCTGGGGAATGAACCAGATGGAAGACCTCTCTCTGTCTCTACCTCTCTCTGTAACTCTGTCTTTGAAATAAATAAAATAAAATCTTAAAAAAAAAACAGAACTCAAAAAAAAAAAAAAAAGTGAAACCTCCATTAAGAAACCACAGATAATAGGATACCAATCTTAAGATTTAACAGCATGTGTACTTCTTGCAACTGACATCACACTCTAAAAAAACTATAGAGATTTCCAAATTGTAAGGCTTAGAGAGAGAGACTCCTGATGCAACTATTATTTATGTCATTATTCTAAAAATTAAAGAGATCTAATAAAAATAAAGTAAATAGAAATATTTAGGAAATAGAGACAAGGTTTTACTATTAGCTTACTGTATGTTTATCTTCTTGGAAAACCTATTATTTCATCAAAAAACAAATGGAATTATCTTATGAATTTAATAAAATGACTATTACAAACACACAAAAATTATCTTGTCCACTTTAATGCTGCAATTAATATACACGTATTTATGATAAATGTGCAATATATAAAATATTTAAAAATAAAAATCAATGTTAATAAACTTAGAATAACTTATGCCAAAATTAAAATGTTCTAAAACACATTCAGTATGATTTTAAAAGATAAAATACTCAAATGAAAATATTTCAAATTTAAAAAGCTCATATTTCTTGCAAACATGCAAATATTTACTTGCAGACAAAATCCTAAAGGTATTTTTTTGAGAGTGACTTTTCAAAATGAGAAATCTATACTAGAGTTAAAATGGAAGAGCTTAAATAATGTTTAAATTCATTATTTATTCTTCATCAATAAATCTGAGCCTAAAAAATCTCAGTGAAGCATGAGGAAGACTAACCCTTGAGAATCACAAAATAATAAAATGCTATAAATACATAGGCATGAAATTAGCATGGCAAAAAGGCATTCAATTAGAAAAAGGAGAAAATTAGAAAGATGCTTTAAAAAGCCTTTCCAGCATTCACACCTTCCAATATCCCCTTCCAGAAAAATACAGGTTAGAACAATTAGAATAACTATCCATAAACAAAATCCCCTTCACAAAAGCTGAGGAACAAGATGAGAGATCATAGCTCCTAAGTGCAGCCTAGAAGAAATGACACACTGACAAAGATCAGGAAGACTGTCTCACTTTACTTACATTACATTTGCCCCAACCCCAGACTCCACAGCAAGGATAGAGATACCCTCCATGTGGAGAAGAAGAGCAAATGACCTCTAGACTCCGAAGCCAGGAGCCAGGAGCTTCCTCCTGGTCTCCCAAGAGGATACAGGGGCCCAAGGACTTGGGCCATCTTCTACTGCTTTCCCAGGACATAGCAGAGAGCTGGATCTGAAGTGGAGCAACCGGCACTGCAGATGGCGGCTCTCCCCATTATGCCACAGTGCCGGCCCCAGTTTATTTAATTTTAATCAATGTACTAAGTAATAATTTTGTATTTATACACACATATTAAGAAAAACTAGATTGTCAAAAGATGGATAGAGCAAATCATTCGATATTTACTTGGCAGATACCGTGAATATGTACTACACCTAAGGATATAACAATGAATGATGTAGACAAAAAACATTTAGATATGCTTTCACACGCCATATATACACATGTGAAAACAGAAAAGAAAGCATAAGTAAACTCAAGAACTGTGAGTAAAGACAGTTTGGACTAGTGTACATGATGACCTATTTTAAGTAAGATTGGCAATGATGATTCTCTGAGCAGATCATCTGGGTAGGCCATCTGATATGTAGAAGTGCGTGATGCTGCTAAACATCTTACAATGCATATGGCTGCACCTTACTCTCAATCAAAAAAAATTATCTGACCCAGAATATCAAGATTGAAAATTATTTCTGATTTAAGGTGATAATAATTGAATGCTTGAAAAATAAATAGACTGGTAAAATCATGCAAATAAATATATATTGAGTATTGCATATTTGATAGTCTCCTGAAGATCCCTTGGCTATTTTAAAAGAAAATAAATCTTCTCGTTGTATATGTTTGTGTGTAAATATATGTATGTGTGTGCTTATATGTAATACTTTAATCAGCCTTAATGTGAAGACATTTTGGATGGTGTTTTATGTGTAGAGGGCACTGTTCTTTATTTGTCAATTACCCATAAATTTACAAACACCTAAAAACCAAAATATATTTTAGAAGTAATTTTAAAAATCAACAGACACATATAACTTGTACAGACTTTTGAGATACTATCTGATGTTTCAAAAAGTACATACATTGTATAATGTGCAATCATGGTAAATACACCTATCATCTCAAATATTTAGTATTTATTTATGGTTGAAGCATTCAAAATCCTGTGTTCTATGTTTTAATATAAACATTATCTATGGTCACTCTATTGTGCAATATATCCCCAGAAATTGTGATTCCTGTCTAACTACAACTTTGAACCCATTAATTTAAGTGTTTATTGAGGGGCTGATGTTATGGAGAAGAAAGTAAAACTGCCGTCTGTAACACCGGCATCTTATATGGGCACTGGTTCCAGTCCTGGCTGCTCCACATCTGATCCAGCTCCCTGCTAATGGTCTTGGAAAAAGCAGCGGGGAACGGCCCAAGTGCTTGAGCCCACGCCCTACCCACATAGGAAACCTGAAAGGAGCTCCTGGCTCCTGGTTTCAGCCTGGATCAGCCCCTGCTGTTGTAGCTACCTCCAGAATGAACCAGGTGATATACAATCTCTCTCTCTCTCTCTCTCTCATTCTCTCTCTCTCTCCCCCTAACTCTGACTTTAAATTAAATGAATAAATCTTTACCCAAAAAAAGTGTTTACTGAACAAGCATAGTAAAAGTTACTTTCAAAAGTATTCATTTGGCAGCCGGCATGGTGGCATAACAAGTTAAGCCACCTCTTGGGACACTGACATCGCATATGCGTGCTGGTTCAAATCCTGGCTGCTTCACCTCCAATCCAGCTCCCTGCTCATGCACCTGGGAAAACAGCAGAAGATGACCCAGTTTCTTGGACCTCTGCACCCACATGGGAGACCTGGATGAAGCTCCTGGCTCCTGGCTTCGATCAGGTCCCTCCCTGGCTATTGTGGCCATTTGTGGAGTGAAACAATTGATGGAAGATCTATCTCTCTTTTATTCCTTCTCTCCCTCTGTAATTCTACTTTTCAAATAAATAATCTTTTTTAAAAAATATACATTTCATTTATTTGAAAGAGTTACAAATAGGGCCAGCGCTGCAGCTCACTAGGCTAATCCTCCGCCTGCGGTGCCGGCACCCCAGGTTCTAGTCCTGGTTGGGGCGACGGATTGTGTCCTGGTTGCTCCTCTTCCAGTCCAGCTCTCTGCTGTGGCCCTGGAGGGCAGTGGAGGATGGCCCAAGTCCTTGGGCCCTGCACCCGCATGGGATACCAGGAGGAAGCACCTGGCTCCTGGCTTCGGATTGGCGCAGTGTGCCGGCCGTGGCGGCCATTTGGGGGGTGAACCAACAGAAGGAAGACCTTTCTCTTTGTCTCTCTCTCTGTCTAACTCTGCCTGTCAAAAAAAAAAAAAACCCAAAACAAAAAAAAGAGTTACAAATAGGTAGAGACAGTGAGAGAGGTCTTCTATTCGCTGTTTCACACTCCAATGTCCAGAGCTGCACCAATCTGAAGCCAGGTCTCTCACACGGGTGTAGGGGACCAAGTTCTTGGACCATCTTGCAGTGCTATCCCAGGCCACAGCAGAGAGCTGGATTTGAAGAGGAGCAGCTGGGACTAGAACCGGCGCCCATATGGGATGCCGGCATTTCAGGCCAGGGCTTTAACCCGCTGCACCACAGCACCGGCCCAAATAAATAATCTTTAAAATTATATATTCATTTGAAAAATTTTATCATATATATACACTTGATATCATTTTTCTTTTCGCAGAAAAACAAAGAGAAATCTACTCACTTGCCATTCAATGCTGCTACACCAACTGTGCTCCGAGCAATAGACATGCTGGCTACAAATGTCCACTGTTGGCTCTGTGGATCCCATCTCTCCACAGTATTCAGATAGCTCCAGCCATCATGGCCACCCACAGCATAAATAGGGCCTTCAAGTACTGTTACACCTAGGATGATGGGGAAATGAAGATTGTGCCTAAAGTTAATAATATCATACTATACACTTCAAAACTTGTCAAGAGTGTAGATCTCTCATTACATGTTCTCATCCCAATGAAATAAAAATTTAAACACTTGGAATGGATTTATTTCAGTGAGCTTTCTTGAATCAAATGAACAATGCAAAAACTATGATCACATTCAGTTTAGAATGCAGTTGCTCAAAACCAATTGCAATCAGGAAGAAACTGCCTACCATTAATTGATTCATTACATTAAAGTGAAAAACAATGTTTACAAGTAAAACTATATTTGATATGGATGTTTTATAAAGGAAAACCAATTCCCTTATTTAAGAAGAATCAAATCTAAACATCAGAGATGGTATTTCTTGTGCTTCTCCTATAGAATATTTTGATACTGTAGTTTATATTACTTTAAGCAATGTTACATTAATGCAATATAATATCATTAAACTAAATTTCAGGGCACTGTCCTCTGTGTTTTTGCTTTCTAATAACTTTAAAATGAACTTACATGAAGGTTAGAACAAAAATCTGACAACTCGTTTTATTCAGTGAAGTCACTCAACCTGAGCAATTCCAACAAATAAAATTAACATGAGTCATCAATAGAAGAAATATATATGCTTAGCCTCTGGTTTCCCAGTCAATTCACTTTTTCATACATAAATTTCATAAATGCTAAACAGATGCTAAATGTTAAATACCATGTTAATATTGACTGAAGTGGTCGCTTTTAACTAAAAAAAATATGGTACGTATTTCCCAAAAGGATAAAATTCAATGTCTGATTGTCAAGAACTATGAAGTGTCTGTAATTTTCCTCTGCTCCCAAGCTGACAAGTTAGACAGCTACAAAGTTATGCATATTAATAGAAGACAGGGTCAAAGAGGAAGGGCAGTTTATTGCTCATAGCAACAACAGTAGTCAGAGCACCATCAATTGTCGCTTCTTTTGCTGACTCGCCAAGTCCCAACTCCCACATGGTGCCCCAGAGAAGATGACCAAGGTGGCCTTTATGTTTTCTCTGCCTGTCCAAACTTTAGACAGGTTCCTCCTGCCTCTAGAGCCCTGACCTCATTTTCCTTAGAGCATTTACTTTAGATAACTTGTAATTGCAAATTACTTCTCTGCTCCTTTGAGATGTAAATCTTTTCAAAAAGCCTCTTCTTAGTTTAATAGCCTAGGACTATCTTTCTCAATGACCTGAGAGTCATTCCTTTGAAATGCAATCATCAAGTAACATATCCCTTCTCCCAGTTTATCTGGGAGAACAGGAGTCTAATTGCAGTTAGCAGCTTTTACTAGTGAAACTAGAGACCTGAAGATAGGAGAAAGTTGACTTTTCCCTCCAGTAAAGCCAATTAGCAAACATAGATTGTCTAGGATTCCCATCTACTTCAGGTATTGAAAACTCAACTACCAGTGTCTTTAGAAGAATTGAGTTCAGCTGCTTTTCTGGTCGCTCTTCTGTTTACAATACCATCGAATAAAGGCTATCTTCCATGTATTTTTTTCTTTCTTTCCTTTTTATTTATTTATATTTTCTGAGAGGGAAGGAGGGAAATGGGGAGGAAGAAAATGAGGGGGCTAGAAAGAAAGAGACAGAAATACAGAGAAAGAAAGAGAGGAAGAGAGAGGGAGAGAAAGGATTTCCATTTGCTGGTTTACTCCCCAAGCATCCACAATGGGCAGTACTAGGTCTAACAGAAGCCTGGAGTCAGGAACTCAATCCAGATCTCCTGCATTGGTGAAAGAAATCCAATTCTTTAAACCATCACCTGTAGCCTCCCAAGGTAGGCATTATCAGAAAGCTGGAGTCAGAAGCTGGGAATTAGACTCAGTGACACTAATGTGGCACACAAGCATCTTAACTGATAGGCCAAGCATATGCCTCTTCTATTTATGCTTGCCTGGTACAATTTTTGCTTTGAGAAGTGTAAACTGAAACTTATACTTGCAGTAGGTTGTACTGCAGGAGAGGAAATTAATTTTTATTGGCCAATAAACATATGTATCCATTGCTTGCAAAAGAAGTTTTTCAGTATCCATGAGTTTTACTTTGGAATGAAACCATCTTTTTCATCCCAGTGTTTGTTTTAATAACTTTGCCTTGAAATACAGTCCAGAACAAAGGATAGTGACTTGACTTAAAAGATGCTTAGAGAGTCCAGTGTTGCGTCCTGCAACACCGGTGTCTGATATGTGTGCTGGTGTGAGTCCCAGCTACTCCTCTTCTCATCTAGCTCTCTGCTAATAACACCTTGGAATCTTTTTAAAAAATTGGGGCTGGTGCTCTGGTGTAGGAAGTTATGCCACCATCTGCAACACAAGTATCCCAAATGGGCACCAGTTCAATTCCCAGCTGCTCCATTTATGATCCAGCCCCAGCTCCATGTTAATGTGTCTGGGAAAGCAGCAAAGGATGGTCCAAGTGCTTGGGTCCCTGCACCGGCATAAGAGACCAAGATAAAGTTCTTGGCTCCTGGCTTTTGCCTGGCCCAACCGTGGCCATTGTGGTCATTTGGGTACTGAAAGAGCAGATGGATGGAAGATATTTTCTTTCTCAGTAATTCTTTCAAATAAATGAGTTAATCTTTAAAAATAAATATATATGAAAGCCTACATTCTAGAGGAGAACACAGACAGTAAAAACATACATAATGTTGAAATAAGTTACATATTCTTTTTAAAAAAGATTTATTTATTTATTTGAAAGTCAGAGTTACACACAGAAGGGGAGCGAGAGCGAGAGAGGTCTTCCATCCGCTGGTTCACTCCCCAGTTGGCTGCAATGGCCGGAGCTGTGCAGATCTGAAGCCAGGAGCCAGGAGCTTCTTCCATGTCTCTCATGTGGGTGCAGGGGCCCAAGGACTTGGGCCATCTTCTACTGCTTTCCCAGGCCATAGAAAAGAGCTGGATCAGAAGTGGAGCAGCTGGACTAGAACTGACGCCCATATGGAATGCCAGCACTGCAAGTGGCAGCTTTAACTGCTACGTCACAGTGCCGGCCCCAGAAGTTATATATTCTTTAATTATTCAAGTACTGCTGGTGAGAATATCTGGGTTGAAGGTGAGGCAAATGCAGAAGAATGCTGTAGTTAGATTTCTGGGGGCTGGCATTGGGCACCACTCACAACACTGGCATCCTATATCAGAGAGGGCTTCCAGTCCAGCTCCCTACTAATGCTCCTAAGAAAGCAGCAGATGATGTCACAAGTACTTGTGTTCCTGCCTCCCATGTGGGAAACTTGAATGTGCTTCCAGGATCCTGGCTTTGACCTGGCCCAGCCATGGCCATTGTGGCTATCTGGGGACAGAACCAGTGGATGTAAGATCTTTCTCTCTGAGTCTTCCTGTCTGACACTCTGCCTTTCAAATACATAAAATAAACCTTTAAAGATTTTTTACTTTGGAGTGTAAATCCCCAGGCTCATATTCCAATTTATTATTACCAGCTGTATGACACTATAAAACTACATAAATTCTTTACATCTTAGTATCCTCATTTCAAGAATACATATCTTATAGCATTTGTGTGATTATTAAATATAAAACAAACATAACAGTACTTGACAACTAATAATCTCTTAATTTTAGTTATTTTATAAGTCAATCATCAGTATGATCTGTGTTAGGTGAGGTTGTTAAAGCTAAGACACTTGGGATACTAAACAGGATGACAGAGTAGTGTTAGATATATCATTACTCTAAGAACTTAAATTCCTCTCCCAAACATCTCTACTCTATATTAAATTAAATCATTAACAAGGTAATATATTTCCAGGAATACTATTTAATAAACTATTTTTGGAAAGTATCAATTTCTTGAAAATATTCAAGTGTTATACTTCCATATTATAAAGATTGTTTGTAGGTAGTCACAGGATTTCTGAACTATGCCTTATAATGTCATTTGCACATTTCTTGCAGCTGTGATGATTTCATTTCAGAAAGGCCTCATTAAGTAGAGTGAATAATTAGACTAGAATAATTTCAAAATCAGAATGATACAATCAACTACTTCCTCTTGTTTACTAAAAATACCTTTAGAGATGCATCAAGGTGAAGAGTACAAATGTATTTTCCTTTGGTTTGTTCAGAGTCAATATTAACCTTGTATTAAAAAATAATTTAGGGATGGGCATTTGACCTTGAAATTTAGGTGCTGCTTGGGACACCCATATCCCATCTCCGAGTGCCTGGGTTTGAGTCCCAGCTTCACTTCCTATTCCAAGTACCCTATATGATAGCATTGATAGCTCAAGTACTTGGTTCTCTGCCACCCACAAGAAAATGAGTGGGTCATGGTCTGTCTACAGAGATGTCCACAAAATGTTTTCACCTAAAAGAAACCTATGGAGCTTTCACAACTTAACTCTAGATGTTTATTTCACCATTTCTCTATAAATGCACTGATAGACATTTTTTTCTGAAAAATAAATTACTACTTCTTTGTATTCTTGTTAATATAATCCATGAAGACACTGCTATATTTATTTTAAGATATAAACTGATCCAATTTATAAATAACATAATTTTAATTACACAAAATAATGATAAAACTCATTTTTAGCACTGCTTAACTGTTTGCATACTAGCCATGAATTTCAAATTACAAAAGTTAAGTTGTGGGCCGGCGCCGTGGCTCACTAGGCTAATCCTCCGCCTTGCGGCGCCAGCACACCACGTTCTAGTCCCAGTCAGAGCGCCGGATTCTGTCCCGGTTGCCCCTCTTCCAGGCCAGCTCTCTGCTGTGGCCAGGGAGTGCAGTGGAGGATGGCCCAAGTACTTGGGCCCTGCACCCGCATGGGAGACCAGGATAAGCACCTGGCTCCTGCCATCGGATCAGCGCAGTGCACGGGCTGCAGCGCGCCAGCCGCGGCGGTGGCCATTGGAGGGTGAACCAATGGCAAAGGAAAACCTTTCTCTCTGTCTCTCTCTCTCACTGTCCACTCTGCCTGTCAAAAAAAAAAAAAAAAAA